CTTTTCCTTTGACTTTTTTCTTATGTTCCTTATCTTATTTTTTCTCTTATTCCTTCTCTTTTTTTCTAGAAAAAAAGAAAAAAATAAGGTTTAAGAGAAAGAATAGGATGAGGAAAATAAGAAAAAAGTCAAGAATTTCTTTCTTTTTGTTTCCCTCTCTTTTCCTTATCTTTTCCCTTGAATTTTTTCTTATGTTCCTTATCTTGTTTTTTCTCTTATTCCTTCTCTTTTTTCTAGAAAAAAAAAAAGAAAAAAGAAGGTTTAAGAGAATCTATCCATCCTTCTCTCTATCCTTATCTTTATCCTTCTCTCTATCCTTACCTTTTTTCTTTCTCTTTTTCCTTCTCTTTTTCTAATTTTCTTTTTTACAGATTCAAACTCGTGATGTCGTCCGTGATGCGGTTCCAGGTTTGCAGTAATCCAGAGGAACAAAAGTGTGAGTGTGGTGAGGTAATCCCTTGCCATGCTGATACTTCTGTTCGTCTGGGTTACTGTTTAGACCATATTAACAACAAACATCCCTTTTTTCAGATCTCGATCGACGACGTGGACATCTCCGGTGCCGCCGGCTCTGTTTCTGGATCCGTCCAGAGACATCCGGAATACATACAGGTGAGACAGGTGAGTGAGAGATATGCTTCCGAGCTAAAATTAGCTCAGAAGCAGATCTCTGGTCTTCGTGTAGAGGCTGATCGAGTTCCCATGCTGACTGCTCAGCTTGTCCAAGCTAAGCAAAAGGCGGCGGAACTCGAGAAGCTGCTCTCCGATGCTAATTCCGCGCTGGCTAAGGTGCAGGAAGAGAAACAGGCGCTTCAGGATAGTTACGACGAACTCGAGTTCGATCGTCCTTATCCTGCTGCACCTGTTCCTCTTCTTCCACTGGCTCCAGTAAAGGAAGAGGTTGAGGAGGGTATGGATGTAGATGTGTTTGTCAAGGAGGAAGAGGATTAAATAGAATATTTATTCCTCTCTCCTTGATAAGCTTTTCTACTTCTATTCTGGGGTTCTAGGGGTTAGGGGTGG